ATATATTATTGTAGATATTAGCACTAATATATTTTAAATTTTCAAGACATCGTAGCGGTATACAACTCCAAAACATGCCTTAACAAAACATCATCCTATACAGTAGATTTCAGTTTTTACTACTCATAACATTCACGATTATGTTGTCCATTACAACAACACTGTATGTTCAAAATTTTGGGTTTATTTTGATCATGGTAGATAATATTTAAACAGATATCAATATTTTGAGTTACACCATAATGATATGGTGACAATCAGCTTGGACGCCATTGGTTATAAAAATAATGATTCCACAATATAGAATGGCCTTTCTTCAAGGCATGCTTTGGAATTGTACACTTCCACAATATATTGAAAACTTAAAATGTATAACAGCTGATATCTAAAACAATATATAGAAGGCAAGTTTCCCCGAAAATTATTGACCCTAGTATTATAAAAATGGACTTGAGTTCCAATAAATTGAATTAGCGATAGAAGAATGATTCCAATAATATATCTTGGAACGTTTAAATAAAGATTCTTGTAACAAAAAATATTATTTTTAGATACTCCAAGGGGTATATTAAATCCCAATAACAAATTTTGGTTTTATCTCTGGGAAAAAGGAGAAAAAAATACAAAAATTGCCAAAAATCACCATTTTAATGATATTACATGAAAAGATGGTACAAATGCCCCAAATTTGTGGAACAAATTGGACAAAAATATATCCATTCGGTTGATAGTTACCTCTTAAAACAATTTTTTAGCAATATAGTCAAATATGAAATGCAGGAAAATTCGTATACTTTTGTGAGGTAATTTTATGGACTTTTTTTAAAAGAAGCTAAATTAATTTAAGTAAATGTGAATTTTTAAAGTTTTAAAAAGCGTGATATCAAATCCAAGGACTGTCTAGACAATATAACAAAATAATTTTGCACACAAAATATATTATTAAATAAGGTTTCTTTTCATATTATACCTAAATTCGAATACTTATGAGAGACACAGTATACCCTTCTCACGAAGGTGAAGGGTATAATAAATAACTAAAGTGACATAACAATTTTTTGTTCTTAAAGAATTAACAAAAATAATAAGTTAAACTGAGAAATATTGTTACACTTTTTTCACTTAATTATTACTTCAGTTATTAAATTTTATATTATTTATGTATAAAAAACAAATCTTAATTGTAAAATGAAAACCACTAATTAAAATTTTATAATTTAAATTAAAAAAAAAAACTCACAATTTTATTTTTAATAAATTGTAAAAATTTTATTGTTTTAATAATTTTAAATTTGTTAACTATTAAACTTGTCGAAATTTGAAAATTTTTCTTTTATCTTCGACTGCAGTTTGTAAGACCTGGTCCACACTAGGAAACTTTTGTTGAGAAACTTTTTCTTAATTCTCTTTTGAAGTTTCCTTAATGTCCACACATAGAAACTTTTGTTTCAAAAACTACGTATTAATTGCATTGATTTGTTGTTGTACGAATGAGAAGAATAACAAAACAAAACAAGTTTCCGAGTAGGAGAAACTCCGTACCGCGAGAGAGATAAATGATATTCTTTCTCTTTCTCTCTCACGCAAAATCAAAAGTTTCCCAAAAAAAGTTTCCTAGTGTGGACCGGCAGTAAACAATTTAAGTTATAAAGCTTAGAACATTAACTTCTAACCGCCGGTCCACACTAGAAAACTTTTGATTTTGCGTAAGAGAGTCGCGAGTCGCGGTACGGAGTTTCTCGTACTCGGAAATTTGTTTTGTTTTTCTTCTCATTCGTACAACAACAAATCAATGCAATTAATACGTAATATCTGAAACAAAAGTTTCTATGTGTGGACATTAAGGAAACTTCAAAAGAGAATTAAGAAAAAGTTTCTCAACAAAAGTTTCCTAGTGTGGACCAGGTCTAAGCAACTGTTTCGGTTTTGTCTTTTGTTGTTTTTGCAATAATGTACGTGTATACAAATACATATATATACTAATAGTTTACACATAGTCAAAGCTAAAAATTTTGCTAACAAAGCCTGGGCAGCCTGGCAGAAAAAAATGTCATAAAACTGAGAGTTCATTTAAATAAAAACAAAATTGCAAAAACAACAAATGACATAACAATTTTTGTTCTTATAGGATTAAAAAAATAATAAGTTAAACTGAGAAATATTGTTACACTTTTTTCACTCAATTGTAACTTAAGTTAATAAATTTTTTATTATCTATATATATAAAAATGGATGTGTGTTTGTATGTTTGTTTGTTTGGACTTTGTAGACAGCTAAACGGCTGAACCGATTTTTCTGAAATTTTCACAGTCTCTTCCTGTATGTCTCAAAGGAACTACTTTTTACTTCAATATTTTAAGTGGGCGACGTGCCACGCCCACATACAAAATAAGTATTAAAAGTCGCTTATCTCAGAAACTGCAAGAGCTACATTCCTCAAATTTTGTATGCAAAACTTTGACGTCCATAAGAACATTTTTGGATAAAATGGGCGGAATAGCGATAGTGGCGTGGCACCTTCCATATGAAGAAAATCTTAAATCAGTATATCTGAGAAAGTATAACAGATAGAGTCTTCAAATTTTGTAGGACCCACTTTAGGATCAATATGAATATTTAAGGAAAAAGGGGGGCGTACTAGCAGCAGGGGGCGTGGCACCCCCCATATGAATTAAATACTGGGAAACTATTAGAGTTAGAAGTCAATGTGAACATTTGGGTAATATATTGGCGGACTTGCATATTGGAACCTCCCATATGTATTAAATAAAAAATTCATATATCTGAAAAAATATAAGAACTAGAAAATTTTACATGAAAAACTTCGACATTTATGTGAACATTTAGAGAAAAATGGGCGGATTATCAATGGGATCTCGGGATCTCCCATATGAATTAAATACAAAATTTCGTACATGTGGGAAACTATTACATTATTTAATTTTTTCATATGTTACAATAAAATCTAAATTAACGTTTGGCGAAAAATTGGCGAAATTGCAATAATTTGCGTGACATCCCCAAAATGTATATCTGGAAAAATATTACATTTAGAATCTTCAAAAAATCGTAAAGTGTTTTTTTATATACATTGATTTTAGGGTAGCAAGCACACTGGGTATATATCGTTTAAACAACAAAATTAATATTTTTTGTAAATTTATTTTTTGGTTTTGACATTACTCTTTGTTCTAGCTGTGTTAATTAAACATAAGTACGGAAAAAATCATTCCTGTTTTGAAAAGCAGTAAGGCCAATAGGCTTCACTCGAACACATTCGACAGAAGATTTCATACCTATTAAATTATAAATTGCTTCCTCTGTTGGTGAAAATGATTGTTCTTTGTTTGGACCACCTCCTGTACCTTTTTTATTTTTTAAATTTTGTGCCGCCTTTTGCCGTACATATTTTTTCTGGTCTGCCCACACCTATGAATTATTGCAAACTACACTAGTTCAGTTGATCAATTAGCTTAATTGTTAACAAACCTTTTTCCACTCAGCAACACACCTAGTTGGAGGCCCCATGGATTTTAGTTCGTTTTCAGCGTTCCTCCAAAACCTTGCAAGTACCTCTTTGCTGCCTTTATGGAAACCACAGGCAACATCGGGATTGCCTCCCATTGGAGTTACCAGTTGCTGTATTTGGGCTTTATTGGTTGTTTTCGACCTAAAAACAATAAATTATTTAAAATTTTTTTTTTAAATTTTGTTGTACACAAATATTACTTACATTTTCTGTAAACTCCCTTTTGTTTTTAAAGTGAATTTTTTTTAGCGGAAAACCCAAATTCAAATTTATTGAGAATAGGTACTTTTTTTCTCATGAATTTGTTTTCCCTTCACACAGTTGATGAAAATGTAATAAAAAAGGAGGAATGAGAAAAGTAATGCAATTCATGCGGATTTTTCATTTATAATAGGAGAGAAGGGAAAAGTGAGAAATTTCATACGGATTTTTTGTTCATGATTGGGCTGTTTGTGTTTTATAATTAAACACGTCGATGAGATGTTTTGAACATGAAAAATGTATGGAAAAACGAGTCGAATTTAAAGTGTTTTTTGAAAAAATATGATGCGATTCAAAAAATTCAAATGTGTGAACGTAGTATAAAATTTTAATTACAAAGTTTTTTTAGTTACTGTTCTATATATAAAATATACAATTTATTCACACTTCATTCATATTTCTTATTAGAAAAGTACATTTCATATCACGTTCACATTTTCATAAACAACTCTTTAAAATATTTCCTTTTTGTATTAACCTGGCAACACAATTTTAATAAATAGCAAACCAAAGAATAAATAAGAAGTAAAACGCTGTAATTTTTTACAACAATAACATTACGCTCTTCTCATAGACGAGTGCTGTGTAAATCCAACACATACATATGTAAAAATTTTATTCTCTCTCCAAACTTTAAAACTTTTTCTCGAAAATTTGAGGATAATAGCACTTTGAAATATTTTTTATCACTTAACATTATATTTCATAATTTTTTAGCACAATTTAAACACATTTAATAGCCCGAAAATAATATATTTTTTACAAACGAAAAAAAAAAAATATTTTTTATTTTTTGACATTGAATTTTTGTTGGTTGAAATTAAAACTAAAAAAAACAATGTTGTAAATTTTCGTATGGTAAACGAAAAAGATATTTCAAATAAATAATTTATTTTTTCAATATTATAGATTAAAAAACAAATAGACGTGTTTATAAAATGTTTGTAGATAAAATATGTGGAAAATATCTTAAGAAACCTTTCAAAGTATAAATTGAAATGTAGTATTTTTTTTCAATATTTTTCAATACGATTTTTTGCAACTATGTTGACTTGAGAATTCTACTAATATTTCTTATTTATTCTTTGTAGCAAACGGTTTAAATATGTCGTCGAATAAAGACGTCGAAACTCTGGTAATTATTTTTTTAATTTAATTTTTTTTATTATTATATATATTAATAATTTTATTATTTTAGAAACTGCTACGACAATTACTGAGCCAAAATGACACCAGTAGACGTGGAGGAAGTGTTCATAGACCAGAAGGTGAACGCCAAGGACGCAGGCGTCAAAGAAATGTATGTTTAATTTACAGCTTTGTCTATTGTCTAGTATATAGTCTAGTCTATAGCCTAGTCTATAGCCTAGTCTATAGCCTATTCTATAGACTAGTCTATAAACTATACTATAAACTAGAATATAGGCTAGTGTAGTCTAGTCTATAGTCTAGTTCATAATCTAGGCTATAGTCTAGTCTATAGTCTAATCTATAGTGTAGTCTACAGTCTAATCTAGCCTAGTGTAGTCTTGTCTATAGTCTAGGCTATAGCCTAGTCTATTGTCTACAGTCTAGTCTATAGTATAGTCTAGTCTATAGTCTGGTCTGTAGTCTAGTCTATAGTCTAGTCTGTAGTATAGTCTATAGTCTAATCTATAATCTAGTCTATAGTCTATTGCCTAGTCTATTGTCTAATCTATAGTCTAGCCTTTAGTGTAGACTTTAGTCTAGTCTTTAGTTTAGTTAATATTTTAGTTTATAGTCTAGTATCTATAGTCAAATCTATAGTTTAGTATATAGTCTATTCTATAGTCTAGTCTTTAGTCTAATCTATAGTCGGGTATATAGTCTGGTCTATAGTGTAGTCTATAGTGTAGTCTATGGTCTAGTCTATAGTATAGTTTATAGTCTAGTCTATAGTCTAGTCTATAGTCTAGTCTATAGTCTAGTCTATAGTCTAGTCTATAGTCTAGTCTATAGTCTAATCTGTAGTCTAGTCTATAGCCTAATGTACTGTTTGTCTATTGTCAAGGCTTTGGTCTATTAGCCTAAATTATATTGCCAATTTGTATATTTTCAGCACACTGTTAGCGAGGAAAATTCGCCATCAACACAAACTGCCACCCAGCATCACTATGGGAATTATACCCTATGATGCCATTTATGCCACTGACGATGACCATGCCTCAGTGGCCAATGGTACCAATGGTTTATCCTCAAATGCCCATCATGCCTTATGGTGGAAATATGGGATGGCATCCCTATGTTGTAGGTGGTTCACAGCCGCAAAATCTGCCAAATGCTGTTCAACCACATGCCAATGCAGTGGAAACTCCTGTTGAAGTTCCCGTACAAACCTCAGTTGAAACTGTAACTGAAGTAGTAAATGATGTAGCCCCAGAAAATGAACATGAAAAATCAAATCAACCATGTTTTATAAACATTATCAAAATTTTAAGATATAAGAAAAAAATTAATAAACAAAATTAATTAAACAAAAAAAATTGTTATACTTTATTTTAATCTATTGTCTATTACATATAAAGCCTAGCGTTTAGGGCAGTATTCAGTAAAGTCTGGTTTATAGTCTATAATCTAATCATTAGACTAGTCTATAGTTTGGCATATAGTAGTTACCCTTCAAACATTTAGAAGACAAAACTATTGTGCATCACCCCCGACGCCACGTCAGAAACACTTCTGGACGATTGTCAGACGAGAACGCACATTTTACAAAAACAAAATACATTTATTTCGAATTTTCGTCTTCTAGAAATATACTTTTAAGTTACTTCCGGATTATAGTTAGAAGAGTGCATCCATTTTGCTTAAACAAAAAACCATGACTGTTGAATTTTTTTCATATGGAAGTATACGTTTTAGTGACTTCTGAATGAGAGTTGTATGAGAACACACATTATACAATAACAAAATACATTGTTTCCTAATTTGTATCTTCTTGATTTGTATGTTTATGTCACTTCTGGAAGACAGTTTGAAGAGTGTTCACATTAATGTTGCATTTTATTCATCTGGAAATGTGGATTGTAGTCACTTCTGTACGATTGTCAGACGAGAGCACACATTTTACAAAAACAAAATACATTGATTTCTAGTTTTCCGTCTGGAAGTATACTTTTAGGTTACTTCCGGATGATAGTAAGAAGAGTACAAAAACAAAAAAATATAAATACTCCATTTTTTAGCGTGAACGCGAAAAAATAAAAATAAATAATGCAGAAATTTTGCTAAGTTCAGTGATGTTTTGTGTTTTGTCCAGTCATGTTCAGTTTTAATTATTCATTGTAAAACTTAAATGAGTTATTGATTAATATTGATAATATTTATAGAAAAATAGTGTAATTAATATATTGTGAATCTTAAGTAATAAAAAAAACCTATTTGACAGTGTTATGTTAAAAGTCAACTGTTAATAAACATTTAAGAAGGTTTTGTTAATTGGTGAAGTTTATTAAATATATTCCAAAAAGTAATTATCTTCAAGGATTATATAAATAAAATTAAAAAGTAAGTTGTCATATTTTACATTAAAATACTATTTTAGGAATAAGTTTGAAACAAGTGTGAATTCAATTTTTAGCTTGTTTCTATTTTTCGTTTTTAAACCAGAATGAAATTTTTTATTATTTTTAAATCTAAACTGTATTGATACAAAATTATTTTTTAAGTTGAAAGTATTTTTATAAAATTATGTAAAGTTTAATTGTATTGGCTACATATATTCCCCCCTAGAGATGCTGCTAAGAAGGATCTCTAACGAAATCTAAATCGAGTTTTCCGAACTTTAATTGGTATTCGACTATTTCCTTGAGGAATTTGTTTTAAATTTGGAATTAATGTCAACTCTGGAACTTCTTCCAGATCCGTGTTAAAAATGTAGGCGGGTTTTAATCTGTCAATTGATATAACTTTTTCGGTTCCATTTACATCCAATGTGAAAAGTTTTTGTCTTCTTTTAATGACACGGAAAGGACCTTGATGTGGGGGTTGAAGGGATTTTTTTACACTGTCTTCTCGAACAAATACAAATTCGCAGTTTTCCAGATCTTGAGATACAAAAACTGTACGATTTGTTTTATGGACTGGTGTAACCGGTTTTAATGAATTCATTTTACTTTTGAGGGATTTTATGAATTCATTTGTTGGCGTATTATCAGATGTTTCGACAAAAAAATCTCCGGGTAAACGAAGAGAAACTCCGTAAACGAGTTCTGAGGGTGAACACTGAAGGTTTTCGATAAAACTTGCACGAAGACCCAACATGACAGTTGGTAGGATGTCATACCAATTAGAGTTGTGATGACACATCAATGCTGTTTTAAGACATCTATGCCATCTTTCGATCATGCCATTTGCAGATGGATGATACGGGGATGTACGAATTCGTTGAGCTCCCAAAATATTTCCAAGCTCTTTGAAAAGTTGGGACCCAAATTGACGGCCTTGATCCGTTGATATTCTGAGTGGTACACCATATCTTGAAATCCAATCTTTGTAGAAAGCTTCGGCTACAGTTATGGCTTTGCAATCTTCTAATGGAATGGCTTCAGTCCAGCGGGTAAATCTATCAATGCACGTCAATAGATATGTAAAACCTTTGCTGGATGGTAGTGGTCCGACCAGATCTATATTGATATGGCAGAATCGGCCGTTGGAGTGGGGTATGAAGATATTTCGCTACGTGTATGTCTGGAAACTTTTGTTCGTTGACAGGTAATGCAAGTTTTGATCAAATCTTTTATGGTCTTACTCATATTTGGCCAAACAAAGCGCCTTCGTATTGCTTCATATGTTGGCGAATATCCACTGTGAGTAAGATCGTGGAATGTATGAAGAACGCTATCACGATGGGTTTTGGGAACAAACGGTCTTACGTTCTCAGTTGAGGTATCACAATAAAGTGGTTTGGTATCTGTAGCGACTTTAATCGTCTTAAAAATTAAAGAGGTTGATTCTGGATTTGACAAAAAATGCTGTAGCTCGGGATCATTTTCTTGATCTTCGGCAAATTTTTTGTAGTCTATGTTAGGCGATCCAGAAATTTCCGTTATGCGGGAAATAGCATCTGCTACTGTGTTTTCAGAACCTTTTATGTGACGGATATCTGTTGAAAATTGAGCCAGGAAATCTAATTGACGGTACTGTCGCGGACTTGCTTTATCGGGATTTTGTTTGAAAGCAAACGTCAACGGTTTATGGTCTGTAAATATAATGAATTTTCTTCCTTCGAGCATATGGCGGTAATACTTTACCACGGTGTATATTGCTAGAAGTTCTCTGTCGTATGTACTATATTTTTTCTGCGTTTCGTTCAATTTCCTGGAGAAAAACGATAACGGTTGCCAACCATCTTCAGTTTTTTGTTGTAATACACCTCCTATTGCGACATCTGATGCGTCGACCATGACACAGATTGGTAAAATTTCACAAGGGTGGGCTAGAAGAGCGACATTAGACAAATCGGACTTACATTTTTCAAATGCTGCGGATGCTTCGGGTGTCAACGTAATAGGAGTATTATCGTTCTTTTTATTACCATTTTGATAAGCAAGAAGTGGTACTTGCGTACTTGCTGCATTTGGAATAAATCTTCTGTAGAAATTAACCATGGCAATGAAACGACGCAGTTCTTTAACGGTCTTGGGCGTAGGGAAATTGACAATAGAATTCACCTTTTCAGGGAGTGGTTTAATGCCGTTTTCTTCAACACGATGACCAAGAAAATTAACTGTATTCTGTCCAAAATAACACTTGTCAACATTGACAACTACTCCATATTCTTGAAGACGTTGAAATACTTGATTGAGATGCTGAACGTGTTGCTCTTCGTTTTCGGAAGCAATCAGAATGTCGTCAATATAAGGGAAACAAAAGTCGAGTCCTCTTAGAACTTCATGGATAAACCGCTGGAAGGTTTGTCCAGCATTACAAAGGCCAAACGTCATATACTGGAATTCGAACAGGCCAAATGGAGTTGTAATTGCCGTTTTGGGAACATCGTTTTCGGCCACGGGTATTTGATTATATGCTCTTATCAGGTCAAGAGTGGAAAAAATACGTTTACCATGAAGTCCATGAGTAAAATCATGAATGTGTGGTATTGGGTACTTATCCGGGATCGTTTGAGCGTTTAGACGGCGATAATCACCGCATGGACGCCATTGGCCGTTTTTTTTGGGTACCAAGTGCAGTGGGCTTGACCAGCAACTTTTTGAAGGTTTACATAGTCCCTGTTCTATCATGAAATTGAATTCTCGTTTGGCAATTTCTAATTTGTCTGGAGGAAGTCGTCTTGGTTTTGCTGTGACTGGACGACCTTTTGTTTCTATAACGTGTTGGATGTTATGCGATTTTTTTCCAACAGCAGTTGAAGGATTGGTTATTGCAGGATATTTTAAAAGTAGAGCGTGATAAGTATCTGTGTTAAGGACTGTTTTAACTTCATAGTAATTAGAAATATTCCCGATTTTTCCTTTTGCGGATAAACCGGTGGTTGAATCAATGAGTTGAACATTTTTAATGTCTACGACGAGACCAAAATTTCTTAAAAAATCAGCTCCGATTATCGGATGAGAAACGTCAGCAACCACAAATTTCCATTGGAAATTCCTTCGGAGACCAAAAGACGGCGATAAGATAAGTTAATGGCGGCAAAAAGTTTGTACTTTTGACATTTTTCTTGTAATGGATTACGTACCGGCAAGACGGATATATCGGCGCCTGTGTCCACCAGAAAGTGTTTACCAACGGTCTTATCGTACATAAAAAGGCGATTGGTTGCATTTCCCCGGTCACTATTGGTATCTAGTGACCGGGTTGTTAGTTTTCCGACTGATTGCTTACAAATGAGCATGGAGGACGACACTTTCGAGCTCTGTTTTTGAATTTACGGTGATAATAACAAATTTTACCAGAAGAAGAGTTTCGACTGGAACTACCATGTGATCCTCTCGATCTGCTTCTCCTGGATATGTTGAGATTACGTAGAGCAGTGTTGATGCTTTGGATTTGAGCTTTAATTTCAGATAATTCACTAGCACTAGTAATTTCAGCTACGTTTGCGTTTCGTGGAATCTGTATATCACCAATCTTGTCAGCCATTTTAACAAGATTATCTAAAGTTTCGGAAGATGTTGCTAAAATCGCTTGAGTTTGGGATGGTAATCTTTGTAACCACATTGTTCGCAAAAAATCTTCCGTAACACCACCATTAGCCAAATTTTTCATCTCTCGGAGAAGTGCGCTTGGCTTTTTGTCTCCGATTTCCACATTTGTCAATAATGTTTTGATGCGATTTTCCTCGGAAACAGAGAAATGATCAATTAGGCGTTGTTTTATTTGCTTATACGCATCGTTGGGAGGATTCATAACGATATCACTCACCTGGCTAAGTACGTCAGAATCCAAATCAGCCAAGATGATAAAGTATTTGGTCCTTTCATTGGTTACGTTGTGTAATGCAAATTGAGCTTCAATTTGTGCAAACCAAAGAACCGGATTGTCTTTCCAGAAACGAGGAATTTTCATGGCAATGGATAAATTAGGGGTGGGTGCATCGACAGCAGTAGGATTCTGGCCAGTAGCTGATGTTGAACATTGCTCTGCGGTAGAACGTGTTAACGGCATTTTTTAGTGAAAATAAACTCGGGGTCACCAATTAAAACAAGTGTGAATTCAATTTTTAGCTTGTTTCTATTTTTCGTTTTTAAACCAGAATGAAATTTTTTATTATTTTTAAATCTAAACTGTATTGATACAAAATTATTTTTTAAGTTGAAAGTATTTTTATAAAATTATGTAAAGTTTAATTGTATTGGCTACAAGTTAACAACTCTAAACGGCTTCCATTTTCATTATTTTTAAACGAAGTCTAATATGTTTAATTAAAAATGATTTTATATTAAATTTCGTCTCTCTATTAATTGGTTTAGGAGTTATAAGCATTTAAAGACTTTTTCAAGTTGTACGTTTCGGCTTTCATTTGATGAATATTGCATTTTTAACCTATTTAGATTTATTTGAGTTAAAACTTAACTTTCAATATTTTTTAAAGTATTTGCGCGTTTAGGTCCTGTTTCTAGATTACGTATGATCACTTTGAGCTAAAATTTTATTTGTATTTCATTATTGTAACAAAAAAAAAATGCATTAAAATTTTACTTAAGCATTTAAACGCTAGCTGGAATCATTATATTCACATTAATACTACTGTTTTATACATAAATTATTTTTTGACTTCACTTGACACGAAATTGCCCATATAAGATATTTAATATTAAAATCAAATATTTTTAAAACCACCTTTTTTAACTACAATTTTATTAATTTTCATATAGCTTTGGATTTAATTATTGTAATTATAGGCCTTTACTAATATTCTTAAGTTTTTGAAAGTGTATAACTCCTTAATTAGAAGAGAGCAAACAAAAAATAGTATTGCAGTATTAGTGTCAAAAGCAATATCCCGTTTAGGGTCGTTAAGGTGTTTCTATCGTTAATGACTGTAAATAGTTTTAAAAATAATCCATGACTTAGTAATTTCAGATTTTT